AGTACACACTGTTATAAATCTACACTGTTATATAGAGGTGTGTACACACTGTTATAGATCTAAATAGTTATATAGGTGTGTTTACACACTGCTATAAATCCAGACTGTTATATAGAGGTGTGTACACATTGGTATAGATCTAGACTGTGATATAGAGGTGTGTACACATTGCTATAAATCTAGACTGTTATATATAGAGGTGTGTACACATTGCTATAGATCTAGACTGTGATATAGAGGTGTGTACACATTGCTTTAAATCTAGACTGTTATATAGAGGTGTGTACACATTGCTATAAATCTAGACTGTTATATAGAGGTGTGTACACATTGCTATAAAGCTAGACTGTTATATAGAGGTGTGTACACATTGCTATAAATCTAGACTGTTATATAGAGGTGTGTACACATTGCTATAGATCTAGACTGTTATATAGAGGTATTTACACACTTTTGTGGATCTAAACAGATGTGTAGAGAGGTGTACACGCTGTTTTAGAAGAAGACTGTTAAATAGAGGTGTGTACACACTACTATAGAGAGGAATCATTTTCAAACTAGTAATAACATGAGTACCCAATCAAGTCCTCGGGGGTGGTATATCACCTGCGCACTAAGCGGGTGATTCATGTGAACGCAGAAGAGGGTAGAGATGGTCAGTGTAGTACATGAGATCCTCTCAGATCACCGCAGTGCAGCGTTACAGAACCAGACATTTCAGTGAGAACCAATTTTTGCGTACCATAGTGTTCGGTGAAATGAAGTCAGGTATGAAGGGACATGGCTTCTACAGTGCAAATACAACAGCAATCCATGTACCAAAGGATGGAAAGGAGAGAGTACACGCTAAAATCACCAATCAAAGCTGCTGGGTGGCAGAACTGGTATTAATGTACTTACTGTTGTTTTTTTTAAACACACAGGGAGTATCTATGTAGTATATGCAAATCTGCATTCCAAATGTACTATGCGTTCTAACATTGCACAGAGATTATGACATAGTATGAGGATGCAACTTAAATGGCTGCCACCGTTTTAATACACAAGGGTGTAAGTATCAGGAAGGCACGTGATCACAGTGTGTATGCGTCATATGGGCGATGTACATTTCAGTCCATGTAATAATAATAATTACATTATTATTATTATTACTATTATTAGTATTATTACTATTATTATTACTACTATTATTAATACTACTATTCAGGTTTTAGGAGTATTAAATGGTATTGCTGATCGGTAATAATCATAATATTCTCAGAACATTACATGAAAGGAAAATGGCGGAGTCTTAGAGCCAGCAGAAAACAGGCACTGAAAGGGGTGTAGATGAAACAATTGGCAATTTGATTACACAAATTATTTTATTTCATAAAAAGTATAAGAGTCTATCAGCATAACACATCAGGATTCTCCTCTATTAATAGTAGTGATCATAATAATAATAATAATTATAATAATAATAACGAATATAAGTATTCGTCACATTAGTTTGCACGTCAGAATATCAGATGTCACACGGGTCAAGTTTCGCAAGGTTTTTCTGTGTATATTAGTGCTGCTCTTATGATAACAAACAATAGGAGACGTTTCTACAACCAAGGGTAAAGACACATAAATACATGACACCGAGGATCATAGTACATTCCAGATTTCTTTTATCTCAGTCTGGGATATTGAAGAAAAATAACAGGCAATATCCAAACAATAGTTCAAGTATATTAGTAAAAAAAATGGTCACAACAATAAAAAAGTTAAGAGAAGTTAAGTGAGCTATAATTAATAACGAAAGAATGTAATGAATAAAAGGCAGAAGAATTTATGAGAATAAGTTTATATAGGTAAGGATTTGAGCATCTTAAGTGAACATAAACTAATGATGATAATAATAATTATTATTATCATTGTTATTATCATTGTATTATTAATATTATTATTGTTATTATTATATTTCACTTAATTCACAATTTAAACTCAATACGCAAAGGTAATCAAATCCAAGATAGGGTTCTTATTTAAGAAAGTCCAATTAAATTTAAAAAGTTAGTCATGGTTAAAAATAAAGCTCCTTATTCTTGTACTAAAAAGCACAAATGGTCACTGCAAAGCACAACCTCTCTCATATTTACAGATAATACACCTGTAATACACAAAATAACAAAGAGAATAGCGAATTATTTGCTGTGGATTCGCTATTTCTATGTTGTTGATAGTAACTACATTTGCAGACAG